CTCACTCGCTCACTCACTCGCTCACTCACTCGCTCGGTTGGTCGCAAATCGCCGTCGGCAGGATGCTGCTGCTGCTGCTGCTGCTACCGCTGCTGATGTTTATGGTGACGATGCTGATGATGCTGCTGGTGATGCTCCCGCTGCTGATGCTGCTGCTGCTGCTGCTGCCGCTGCTGCTGCTGAGGATGACGATCTTGCCACTGACGCTGTCTGTACCCCCCGCTCCGCAGCGCGTCGCGCATGCTGCACACCATGCTGCCCCCCCCGCCGGCGGGAGTGGGTCGCCCCGACGACTCCGCGAGGGGGTTCAGGCCGTACCACGCGGGCGGCTCGGGCGGGGGGGGCGGGGGCGGCGGGGGGGGCCCCGAGGAGATGAGGCTGCCGGGGATGCCCCCCGCGCCCCACGGGGCCCCCCAGCACCCTGCGGCCGGGGCCCCCCACGCCCTGAGCCTGGACCCGGCCACCGTGGCGGCGTTCTACCACCCGGCGTTCCTGGCCCACCCGGCGTTCCAGTACCCGGCGTTCAGGTGCCCGCTGACTCACGCTGAGACACACACGGGCTGGCACAGATACCCATAGACTAACACAGAGACCCACAGACTGACATAGAGACCCATAGACTCACGCAGAGACCCATAGACTCACACAGAGACCCATAGACTGACATAAAGACCCATAGACTCACACAGGGACCCATAGACACGCACAGAGACCCATAGACTCACATAGGGACCCATAGACTCGCACAGAGATCCATAGACTCACACAGAGACCCATAGACTCACACAGAGACCCATAGACTGACATAGAGACCCATAGACTCACACAGAGACCCATAGACTCACACAGAGACCCATAGACTCACACAGAGACCCATAGACTCACACAGAGACCCATATACTGACATAGAGATCCACAGAATCACACAGAGACCCATAAACTGATATAGAGACCCATAGACTCACACAGAGACCCATAGACTCACACAGAGACACATAGACTCGCACAGAGACCCATAGACTCACACAGAGACCCATAGACTCACACAGAGACCCATAGACTGACATAGAGACCCATAGACTCACACAGAGACCCACAGACTCACACAGAGACCCATAGACTCACACAGAGACCCATAGACTCACACAGAGACCCATAGACTGACATAGAGACCAACGCTCAGACCCATAGACTCACACAGAGACCCATAGACTCACACAGAGACCCATAGACTCACACAGAGACCCACAGACTCACACAGAGACCCACAGACTCACACAGAGACCCATAGACTCACGCAGAGACCCATAGACTCACACAGAGACCCATAGACTGACATAGAGACCCATAGACTCACACAGAGACCCACAGCTCACACAGACCCATAGACTCACACAGAGACCCATAGACTCGCACAGAGACCCATAACTCACACAGAGACCCACAGACTCACACAGAGACCCATAGACTCACACAGAGACCCATAGACTCGCACAGAGACCCATAGACTCACACAGAGATCCACAGACTCACACAGAGACCCATAGACTGAAATAGAGACCCATAGGACTCACACAGAGACCCACAGACTCACACAGACACCCTAGACTCACACGAGACCCATTAGACTCACGCAGAGACCCATAGACTCACACAGAGACCCATAGACTCACACAGAGACCCATAGACTCACACAGAGATCCACAGACTCACACCGAGACCCATAGACTCACGCAGAGACCCATAGACTCACACAGAGACCCATAGACTCACGCAGAGACCCATAGACTCACACAGAGACCCATAGACTCATACAGAGACCCATAGACTGACATAGAGACCCATAGACTCACACAGTGACCCATAGACTCACACAGAGACCCATAGACTCACAAGAGACCATAGGACCTCACACCAGAGACCCATAGACTCACACAGAGACCCAATAGACTCGCACAGAGACCCATAGACTCACACAGAGACCCATAGACTCACACAGAGACCCATAGACTCACACAGAGACCCATAGACTCGCACACAGACCCACAGATTCACACAGAGACCCACAGACTCACACAGAGACCCATAGACTCACACAGAGAACCCATAGACTCGCGCAGTGACTCATGCGGTGCCCGTGGTGACGATGACGATGGTGGTGATGGTGGTGCTGGTGCGGTAGTGATGGTGGCGGTGATGGTGGTGGTAGTGGTGGCGGTGATGACAATGGTGGTGATGGTGGTGATGGTGGTGGTGATGGTGGTGGTCCTGGCGGTGGTGGTGATGACAATGGTGGTGGTGGCGGTGGTGGTGATGATGGTGGTGGTACTTGGTGGTGATGACGGTGGTAGTGGTAGTGGTTGTGGTGACAGTGGTGGTGGTAGTGACGATGGTGACGATAGTGGTGATGACGCCGACGGTGATGATGGTGACGATGGTGACGATGGTGACGATGATGAAGGTGACGATGATGATGATGGTGACTATGGTGACGATGATGACGTTGGTGACGATGGTGATGATGGTGACGATGATGACGATGGTGACGATGATGACGATGGTGACGATGATGACGTTGGTGACGATGGTGATGATGGTGACGATGGTGACGATGATGACGTTGGTGACGATGGTGATGATGGTGACGATGATGGTGACGATGATGACGATGGTGACGATGGTGACGATGATGACGATGGTGACGACGGTGACGATGATGACGATGGTGACGATGATGACGTTGGTGACGATGGTGATGATGGTGACGATGATGACGATGGTGACGATGATGGTGACGACGACGACGATGGTGACGATGACGACAATGGTGACGATGACGACGATATTGACGATGGTGATGACGATGATGATGACGATGGTGACGATGGTGACGGTGCTTTGCAGGCTGGACGACCCGTACTGCCTCTCGGCACTCCGCTCCCCGTTCTTCCCGCTGCCCCCGCTGCCCCCGCTGCCCGGAGTGCGCTGCTACCAGCCCGAGATGGCGGCGCCCGCCGGCATCGGCAGCAGCACGCCCAGCGCCGATCGGTGAGGAGCCACGGCTCGTGGGGGGAGGGGGGAGGGGGAGGGAGTGGGGGGGAGGGAGTGGGGGGGGGGGAGTCCCTCCTGCAAGAGCGGAAGACTGGCACAGAGACTCACAGAGACACACAAAGATACACGTAGAGACACGTAGAGACACACAGACACCCATTGGGGTACACGGAGACACACGGAGACACACAGAGACACACAGAGACCCATCGGGGTATACGGAGACACACAGAGACACAGAGACACACAGACACCCATCGGGTACACGGAGACACACAGAGACACACAGAGACCCATCGGGGTACACGGAGATACACGGAGATACACGGAGACACACAGAGACACACAGAGACACACAGAGACACACAGAGACACACAGAGACACACAGAGACACACAGAGACACACAGAAACACAGAAATTTACATTGAGACACATAGAGACACGAACAGAAACACAAACATCTGTAGTGGTATAAGGAGATACATAGAGACCCACTCACCCACCAACTCCCACTCATGCACACACCCCCACCCACCCTACACACCCCCACCCACACACCCCCACCCACCCACACACCCCCACCCACACACCCCCACCCACCCACACGCTGCACCCACTCTCTGAATGCTCACGAGTGTTCGTGGGCGCCCTCCTGACCCCCACTCCCGCTGCGTCCCTGCAGGCTGCAGGCCGAGAAGGAGTCGAGGCAGCGGGAGATGGAGCGCGAGCGGGAGCGCGAGCGGGGCGCGCGAGGAGCGTGAGAGAGAGAAGCAGCGCGAGAGGGAGCGGGAGCGCGAGCGGGGTGGCACGGGGCGCTAGCTCTGGCGCTGGAGGGGCACGCGGCACGGAGAGACGGCGCCGCCACGGGGGCGGAGCGGGGGCAGCAGCAGCAGCACGACGGCAGCGGCGGCGGCGGTGCCGGCGTCGGCGCGGCGGCGGCGAGCGGCCGTGGTGAGTGCTGCCGGCTGCGGCGAGCGGCAAGCGGCGGCAATCCTTCGCCGTCACCTTCATTGTCATCTTGGACATCGCTGTCCCAGCGGCAGCGGCGGTGGCAGGATGTGTGTGTGTATGTGTGTTCGGCCGGATCGAGGGGGCTAGACGGGCGCGGCACGGGCTGGAGAAGAGATGGAGTGATGTGGTACAGGAGGACGTGGAGCTGAGTGGACTTGCCGATGACTGGTACCAGCGGTGTCAAGATCGGCCTCAGTGGAGGAGGCTCGTGAAGGACGCTACTGGGCAGTTGGAGGCAGTCGCCCTCCAACAACAACGGAGGGCGGAGGAGCGACGCTCATAACAACGAGCGGAGCGCCGGGTGGCTAAAGCACAGCAAGTTGGCACAGTAGGGGGCACAGGTGGTGCATCAGCCAGTCATCTCGGTCATCTCGGTCAGTCGACCAGTGGCACCTGGGTCTGCCCCGTGACCTCCTGCCAGCGGGCTTTCGACACTTCACGTGGCCTCAAGGTGCACTTGGCCTGGCACAAGCATCGTGGTGACGTCACCGCCACTTAGTGGCGAATGGCGGTTGTTGTATGTGTGAGTGTGTACGTGTGTGTGTGTACGTGTGTGTATGTGTCTGTAGATGTAAGCAAAAAGCCACTGGAATGTTCGAACGCTCACTGCGGAGGAGAGGCTGCCACTCCTCTGTCGGGAGCTAGACCGGTACCGCCTGGATCTCTGTGGTATTCAGGAGGTCCGGTGGACCGGCTCTGGCTCCTGCCACCATGAGGGGTGGACAGTCCTCGACTCGGGGCAGGAGACTGCCAAACAACAGGGAGTGGCTCTTCTTCTGAACAAAAGAATGAAGGGGGCGTGGGAGCTTGGCTGTGAGGTGTGGGAAGCGGTAAGCCCCAGGATACTTTGGGCTCGCCTTCACATCAACCAGAGGCAAGGAGTGGTGGTCGTGGTTACTTATGCCCCCACTGAAGACGAATATCCGTGGAGGGATGCAGGCAAGGCCGATGAGTCAGATGCCTTCTATGACCTCCTGTCACAGGTGCTAGCTAAAGTGGCCCCACATTATTTAACATCTATTTTGACCACGTAGTTTGTGAAACCTTCGATGGCTGTATCAGGGCAATTTCTATCTGGTACAGATACAATGGGAGGCTGATCGATGCCAGGTGTGGTAAAGGGATGGCTCCCTATTGGTCAATAATTTTAAGTATGCTGATGATCTGGTAATTTCTGTCACTCAGAGGAGGAGTTGGAGGCGCTGCTGCTGAACCTGGAGTTTGCCACTAAGAGGTGGGGCCTTAGCATTAGCCCCACCAAAACTAAGCACCTGCCTGGGTATTTTGTACCATCAGACCCTCCACCCCCACAACTCCTAATTGGTGATGGGGCAGTTGTGGAGAGAGTGGAGAGTTTTCCATACATGGGCAGTGTGCTCATGACCGGCTCCGGTTTGACAGCAGAGGTCTCACTCCGAATCAATAGGCGTTATCTTTTCATCGGTTGCGTAACGCTGTGTGGAAGCTACCTGTTCTGTCACTCCACACGAAGCTTCAGGTCTTCTCAGCCACAGTCATGCCCTCCCTTCTCTGCGCTTGTGAAACGTGGACCCCCCTAATGAAACACCTTCGCCGGTTAGAAACATTTAGGCTGGCCTGCCTACGATCCAGCCTGGGTTTAACCAGGCTGGATTGTGTGAGGAGCTCACAAATCCTTGAAAGATCTGGACAAAGTCCCATCAGTGAGCTGCTCCGGCAGGCAAGGCTGCGTTGGCTGGGTCATGTAGCCCACATGCCCAGCCACCGCATGCCTAAACAGCTTTTGTTCGGCCGGATCGAGGGGGCTAAATGGGCGCGGCACGGGCTAGAGATGAGATGGAGGGATGTGGTACAGGAGGACGTGGAGCTGAGTGGACTTGCCGATGACTGGTACCAGCGGTGTCAAGATCGGCCTCTGTGGAGGAGGCTCGTGAAGGACGCTACTGGGCAGTTGGAGGCAGTCGCCCTCCAACAACAACGGAGGGCGGAGGAGCGACGCTCACAACAACGAGTGGAGCGCCGGGTGGCTAAAACACAGCAAGTTGGCACAGTAGGGGGCACAGGTGGGGCATCAGCCAGTCATCTCGGTCATCTCGGTCAGTCGACCCGTGGCACCTGCTGGGTCTGCCCCGTGACCTCCTGCCAGCGGGCGTTCGACACTTCACGTGGTCTCAAGGTGCACATGGCCTGGCACAAGCGTCGTGGTGACGTCAGTGGCGAATGGCGGTTTTTGTTGTGTACGTGCGTGTGTACAAGTGTGTATGTGTACGTGTGTGTGTACATATGTGTGCGTGTGTGTGTACATGTGTGTACGTGTGTGTACGTGTGTGTGTACGAGTGTGTGTGTACAAGTGCGTGTGTACAAGTGTGTGTGTACAAGTGTGTACGTGTGTGTGTACGAGTGTGTGTGTACAAGTGTGTGTGTACAAGTGTGTGTGTACAAGTGTGTACGTGTGTGTGTACGAGTGTGTGTGTACGAGTGTGTGTGTACAAGTGTGTGTGTACAAGTGTGTACGTGTGTGTGTACGAGTGTGTGTGTACAAGTGTGTGTGTACAAGTGTGTGTGTACAAGTGTGTACGTGTGTGTGTACGAGTGTGTGTGTACAAGTGTGTGTGTACAAGTGTGTGTGTACAAGTGTGTACGTGTGTGTGTTTACACGTATGCAGATCGGCGAGGGCCTAGCTCCTCCGCTGCTTTCTTCGACCGTCGCCCGGCGGTTCTGGGCATCACGCTCCCCGTCTCGCACGCCTCGCACGCCACGCACGCCACACACCCCACACACCCCACGCATCACTCCGCGCACCACCCCACGCACCACCCCACACACCACCCGCGCACCACCCCGCGCACCACCCCGCGCACCACCCCACGCACCACCCCGTGCACCACCCCGCGCACCACCCCACGGCGGCGGCGCACAGGCAGGCGGTGCGACACGCGGACGGGGACAAGGAAGAGCGGGGGGGCGCCAGGCAGAGGGAGCGAGTGGGGAGCGTCGCCTGCACCCGCAGGAGCATCAACGTCGGCCCGCGCGAGGAGTTTAGGTGACGCACGCACGCACGCACGCACACACACACACGCACACACACACGCACGCACGCACGCACACACGCACACACACACACGCGCGCACGCACACACACACGCACACACACACGCACGCACACACACATACAAAACAGACAAAGATCCCCCTATAGCGTGTAACAGACTGAAGGGGCAAGTGCTGTTAGCGAGCACCAGGTACTCATTTGAGGCCGAGTAGATCTAAGGGAGGCCCAGGACCCGGTTCAGATAATCGTCACTCGTGGTGTTGGCCGTGAGCGGGAATCGAACCCGGGTAGCCAGGTTCGTAGCGCAGCGTGATAACAGCTACACTACCGCTCCCCGCACACACACGCACGTGCATACACGCATTTCAGTTTCATTTATTTCGGTTTCATGTATTAGGTATAGCCCTATGAGCCATTCGGCTCTTGAATCGGGTGCAACCGCAACAAACAAAAAACAAAAACATGAACAAGAAAACATCTTAAAGTGACTATGTGACTGAGTGCAAACAGAAAATCCAAGAAAAGACAGCAAAATATTGCAGAAAAAGCACCGTACACCAACGCTGTGTGCAAAAATCCCAGTGGGATGCAAGTCAAACAACAACAACCACAAGACAACTTAGATTAAGGCCATCAGTCTAACTCCGTACTACAACAAACAAACATGGCCAAATCAAAAACTTTTTCGAAATCGCCAAAATAAAGCCGTGAAAGCAATGTAACAGTGATCATAGGAACTGTCACCGAATTTTCACAATAAACGACATAAACAACATGCACCACCAAACCCTGCAGCCATCGCTGGCCGCCGTTCGCCACCGAGTGGTGGTGTCGTCACCACGGCGCCCAGGTCCTCCGGTTTTTCCCTCCATACATTTCGTTGGGCCATCAATTGTGGCCAGGTCGCTTCTGAGAGACAAGAGCTACATGGCTCAGTGGGCCTTACCTGGTAAAACAAAACAAAACAGTTTAATACTTTGTAGTGTAACTCTCTTTCTAACTCTCGCCGTCGCCCTCCCATCAACAGGAACGGCCTCGACAACTCCGAGGCCTTGCCTCTCGACTTCCACCGATTGCCGCACGCTGGCGGCGGCGGTGCGGCGACGATGCCAGGGAGCAGCGCCTCCTCCTCCTCCACCGCCACCACCACCTCGTCCATCTCGTCCACCACCACCTCCTCGTCGTCGTCCTTGTCGTCGTCCACCTCGCAGGCCGCTTGGCTGAGCCACGTCTCCGGCGGCGGCGGCGACGGCGGCGAAGCGGCGAGCGGCTACTGGAGCCCGGTGCCGCGGCCGGGGGACGACACGGGCGGCGGCCTCAACCTCAGCAGCAACAACAACGGCAGCCACAACCACCACAACCACCATCACCACCAGCAGCAGCAGCAGCACCACAACCACCACCACAACCACCACCAGCAGCACCAGCAGCAGCCGCCGGGCCTGAGGCCTGTCGGGGCAGGCCACCCGTTCCGCCCGACGGGCCTGTGGGTGCCGCCGTTTGAGAAGGGCCGGGAGGAGAACGGGGTGAAGGCCGAGGGCAGGAAGGCCTCGGCCGAGGTGATGCCGCAGGTGGTGTCCATGGGGGGCTCCCACTTCGGGGGGCCAGGCGTCGGCGGAGGGGTCCCCCCCCACTTTTTGTGCGAGCTGCAGCGCTCGGCACACCACTTCCTGGAGAAGCAGGGCACTTGCCTGGATCGGCTCGCCCAGGAGAGGGCGCCAGAGGGGGCGGAGCGGCCAAGCCAACAGGCAGGCCTGAGGGCCTGCCCCGGGCCCATCACCAGCAGCAGCAGCAGCGTATACAGGTAGGGGAGGCCGCCTGTTGTCGTGAGTGGGTGGGTGAGTGAGTGGGTGGTGAGTGAGTGGTGAGTGAGTGAGCGGGTGGTGAGTGAGTGAGTGAGCGGGTGGTGAGTGAGCGGGGTGGTGAGTATTAAGTGATTGGATGGTGAGTAGGTGGTGAGTGAGCGGGTGGTGAGTAGTGAGTGGGGGGCGAGTGAGTGAGCGGGTGGTGAGTGAGTGGGTGAGTGAGTGGGTGGGTGAGTTAGTGGGTGAGTGAGTGGGTGGTGAGTGAGTGGGTGAGTGAGTGAGCGAACGGGTGGTGAGCGAGCGGGTGGTGAGTGAGTGGGTGCTGAGTGATTGTGTGGTGAGTGAGTGGTGAGTGAATGGGTGAGTAAGTTAGTGATCAGGTGGTGAATGGTGAGTGAGTGGTGAGTGAGTGGTGATTTGGGTTTCCACCTGTCCCAATTTTCCCAGAATCATTCTTTATTAAGCTGCCTGTCCTGGAAAACCTGTAAGTTTTCGTAGGACGTTATCAAATACAAAAAATTATCGGCGCACATGAGCTGAGCCAGCACGGTACAGGTGATGGTTTTTCCACTGGCACACCCGACCAGAGCCATAGCCAAACCACCTCACAAAGAACGCATCCAAATCTGGCTCGGGGCGGGGGGCCAAGCAGGGCCAGGGGCAGGGGGGGGCTAACAACGCGTTCCTCGCGCGCCATTGACACCAGTCGGTGGCGCAGCATCGCCGGTGCGCGTCGATACGCGCGCCGTGACCGTCGGCCGAGCTCGGTTTGTGCGCAGCGGGAAAAAAAGAGGTCGTAAAAAGTCCCGGCGGCGCTTGTCAGCTACGCAGCGAAGCCGAGGGCAGCGCACGGCGCTCGCCCCTCACCCCGCCGGTGTCCCGTGACGTGGAGGCCGCGGTGTGTGTGTCCCCCCCCCCCCCCCCCCCAGGCCCGACGTGGTGTACGACGAGGCCCTGCGCACGACGCGTCGCGTGGTCAGCCGCCTCGACCTGGCCGAGAGGAAGCGCAAACTTGCCTGGCTCCACGGTAAGTGGCTCACCTGGCTCCACGGTGAGTGAGCCACTACGCCGGCAGGCTCGACAGGGACATGTGGGAGCGCGGCTGGAATGCTCACTCCCCCCCACCCGCTTTCCCACTCCCCCCCCCCCCCCAGCTTGTGTACGTTCGTAAACCTCAGCGCCACTGGGGAGACAAAGGCGGCCGGGCGTGGTGCTGGCCACCCACCCCCTCGTGTGCCGTTCCGGCCTTCATAGGTGCTGCTCGCTAACGGCACTTGCCCCTACAGTCTGTTAAGGCTACACGGGGGATCTTTGTCTATGCGTGTATCTGCGCGTGTGTCTGTGTGATGCATCTGCGTGTGATGGATGTGTGAGTCTGTGTGTGTGTGTATTCTGACTATGTATGTGCATGTATATGCGTGTTAGTGTATGTTCACGTGCGTGTGTGTCTGTGTGTGTGTCTATGTGTGTGTGTCTATGTGTGTGTGTGTCTGTGTGTGTGTGTGTGTCTATGTCATGGCTATACGGGGGATCTTTGTGTACATGTGTAGGACTCGTACAAGGGTTGTCTTTCTCTCTTTATTTTCCTCTTAGAGTCCACCTTCGCCGCGCCACTGCTCCACGTCTCTCCGTGCCCTCGCTCCGCTCCGCGTCGCTCCGCGTCTCTTTGTGCCCTCGCTCCGCTCCACGTCGCTCCGCGTCTCTCCGTGCCCTCGCTCCGCTCCACGTCGCTCCGCGTCTCTCCGTGCCCTCGCTCCGCTCCGCGTCGCTCCGCGTCTCTCCGTGCCCTCGCTCCGCTCCGCGTCGCTCCGCGTCTCTCCGTGCCCTCGCTCCGCTCCACGTCGCTCCGCGTCTCTCCGTGCCCTCGCTCCGCTCCACGTCGCTCCACGTCTCTCCGTGCCCTCGCTCCACGTCGCTCCGCGTCTCTCTACCTCACTATCGCTACGCTTGTCATCTCTACGGTTTCTCCTACTCTGCATCCTTCCGATGCACGGCTACCCTGGTGGCTCACTGCGTTCTCGCTACCACTGTCTCTCCGTGCTTTACTCTACTGACACTTGCTCTGCGACTCTCCGGGCACCGTTGCTGCAGCTCCATCCACGACGCCGACTCGTACAGGACTCCCTTCTCTCCGTTGCGCTCTGGCTTATATCCCCACACCAATTAATCTCCCTAATTATCTCTACCCCCCCCCGCTTATCGCTCACCCCCTGCCCCCCCCCCCGTGTCACGTGGCCTTGTTTTCACCGCCAGAGCGACGCCAGCTAATGCCCAATTACCTTCCCAGCCAATCAGTGGCCTGTGTCCTCCCGGCTACCCTGACACCTGTTTCAACCCTTAACGACCCACTTCGCCTAAAGTCACAACAACAACCATTACCCCACATCACCCCACTGTACTGTGCTTGCTTGCATAGCAAGAGAGGCAGGGGATGCGTGGCGCGCTATACTCAAGCCCTACACATGTATAAACGCGTGTGCGTGTACGTGTGTGTGTGTAGTCACGTGTGTGTGCATGCGTGTACGCGTGTGTGTGCGTGTGTGTGCGTATTTACGTGTGTGTGTGTACGTGTGTGTGTGTATTTACGTGTGCATGTGTGTACGTGTGTGTGTATTTACGTGTGTACGTGTGTGCGTGTGTGTGTATTTACGTGTGTACGTGTGTACGTGTGTGTGTATGTGTCCGTGTGTGCGTGTGTGTATTCACGTGTGTGTGTGTATTCACGTGTGTGTGTGTGCGTGTGTGTGTGTACGTGTGTGTACGTGTGTGTACGTGTGTGTGCGTGTATTCACGTGTGCGTGTACGTGGGTGTGTGTATTTGCGTGTGCGTGTGTGTATTCACGTGTGTGCGTGTGTGTATTCACGTGTGTGCGTGTGTGTGTGCGTGTGTGTGCGTATTTACGTGTGCGTGTGTGTGTATTTACGTGTGCATGTGTGTACGTGTGTGTGTATTTACGTGTGTACGTGTGTGTGTGTATTTACGTGTGTGTGTATTTACATGTGTGTGTGTGCGTGTGTGTGTGTACGTGTGTGTGTGTGCGTGTGTGTGTGTACGTGTGCGTGTGTGTGTGTATGTGTGTGTATTTACATGTGTGTGTGTTTACGTGTGTGTGTATTCACGTGTGTGTGTGTGTACGTGTGCGTGTGTGTGTGTATGTGTGTGTATTTACATGTGTGTGTGTTTACGTGTGTGTGTGTGTATTCACGTGTGTGTGTGTACGTGTGTGTGTATTCACGTGTGTGCGTGTGCGTGTGTGTGTGTACGTGTGTGCGTGTACGTGTGTGTGTGTGCGTGTGCGTGTGTGCGTGTGTGTGTCTAGGAGTCCGAGCTCCCAGCGGGTCGGACAGCGACGAGGAGCTGGACGAGGGGGAGATGAGAGCCGACGTGCGGCGCCTGTCTCAGCGGCCGCCCCTGCCTCTCTCGTGCACGCCCGAGGTGCGTGGGCGGTGTCATTGTGTGTGTGTGTGGGTGTCTGTGTGTGTGTGTGGGTGTCTGTGTGTGGTGTCTGTGTGCGGTGTCTGTGTGTGTGGTGTCTGTGTGTGTGGTGACTGTCCCAGCGGCCGCCTCTGCCTCTCTCCTGCACGCCCGAGGTGCGTGAGCCGTGTGTGTGTGTGTGTCTGTGTGTGTGTCTGTGTACGCACTATCTGTGTGTGCGGCGTCTGTGTGTATTTCGTATCCATCTCTGTCTCGCCAAGAAAATCTCAATTGCCTTTGTCTAATCCGTGCGTCCATCCACGTCTCCGCGTGAATCCCCCTCTCCGTGCCCCCCCCCCCCGCGTACCCCCCCCCGTGCCCCCTCCTCGCGTGCCCCCCCCCCCGTGCCCCCCCCCCGCGCCCCCCCACATAGAAGCTGGGCCTGCTGGCCATCGTGGGCCTCACGTCGCGCCCGCACCGCGACTCCCTCGCCGCCGAGCGTGCCCGCAAGCGCCGCCGGCGCATGATGGACCCCAGCCCCCCCCGCGGGGCCGCCCCCTCGCTCCCACAATGCACCGCGGCGGCCGCGGCCGGGGGCGCGGTGGCGGCGGCGGCGTTGCCGGCGTGCACCGCGACTGGTACGACGCAGCAGCAGCAGCAGGGCGACCTCAACAGCGCCAGCGACTTCCCCGAGAAGATGGACTTCCTGGTGCGGCTGTCGCTCACGCACGTCAAGCCGGAGCTGCGCCAGGGTGAGCCGGGCTCGGTGACGCGACGGCGTCGGCCGATCGGTGCGTCGTCATCGACTCGGGGGGGGGGGGGGGAGCGCGATGTCAGAGCCGTGCCGGCCTTAATAGGCGCTCGCTGACGACGCCCCTGTTGGCACGGTCGGCTGTGTACGCTGCTGCGCAAGTTCAACGTACGTACGTACGCACTGCAGCAATGCAGAGGCGGATTGCTGCGTCCGTGTGCGAGTGTGCGGAGCGGTGGCGCGGCGGTTAGCGGCGTTGCGTGCGCTGCGAACCCCCGGAGGCCCGAGTTCGATTCCCACCGACATCGGCGGCGAAGATCTGAACCGGCGCTTGGCTTGAGCTCGCCGAGTACCTGGTACGGTGTGTGAACGTCAGCGCCGGGGAGACAGAGGCGGCCGGGCCTGGCCCTGGCCGCACCACCCCTCCGTGGGCGTGCCGTGCCGGCCTTAATAGGCGCTCGCTAACGGCACTTTCCCCAAGAGGTCTTTGCTAATGGCTACACGGGGGGGGTGGGGAACCTTTGTCTTTGCCGCGTGCGGCGTGCGCAGAGCGAGAGTGCGCCCTGGCGCTCATGCAGGCCGCCAAAGACGGGCGGCTGCCCAGCGACGCTCCCTTCCGCCACCCGACGCCGTGGCTGCACCTCCACTCCTCGGCGCAGCACCACCCCGGTGAGCGCCATCCCGGTGAACACCACCCCGGTGAGCGCCACCCCGGTGAACACCACCCCGGTGAGCGCCACGCTGGTGAGCGCCACCCCGGTGAGCGCCACCCCGGTGAGCGCCACACCGCCACCGCCACCGCCGCCGCCGGCTGGTGACAAACGCCGACCTAGAGGAGGGGGGTGGGGGGCAGAGGTTGCAAACGGGTTTTGATTCCTTACCCGTACCCGGCCGCACCAGGGTCGCAAACGGGTACCCATACCCGGCTGGGTACGGGTAGCCGGGTATCGGGTAGGGTACGGGTATCGGGGGGTACCCGGTTGCGACCTCTGGTGGGGGGTAGTGGGGTGTGGGTGGGTATGGCACCGCCCGGATTAGAATCGCGACTGGAGTGCGCCGGTCTGCGTGGAGTTGGTCTGGCATGTGAGCGGAGGGGGGGGGGCCACGGGGGCTGGTGGTGGGGGGCTGGAGGGGGGGGCTGCGGGGGAGGGGAGGGGCCGAGGATGACGTCACCGGAGACTCCGAGCTGAGAGCGGGTGTCGTGAGTGCGAGCGTGCGCGTGTGTGCGTGTGAGTGTGTAAACGTGCGCGTGTGTGGACACGTGTTTGTGTGTGCGCGTGGGGAGCGGTGGCGCAGCCGTTAGCGCTACGCCGCGCTCCGAAAACCGGCGATCCGAGTTCGATTCCCGCTCACGGCCAACACCGGCGACGATTAGGTCGACTCGGCCTCAAATGAGTACCCGGTGCGGTGTGTAGTAAACATCGCCACTGGGGAGACAAATGTGGCCGGGCGTGGTGATGGCCACCCACCCCCTCCTGTCCCGTGCCGGCCTTCATAGGTACTCGCTTAGAGCACTTGCCCCTACAGTCTGCCGCAGGCTACACGGGGGATCTTTGTCTGTGTGTGTGAGCTGTATATTCTCCCCATTGCTCTGCGGGAGATTCCTCCCACAGCAAATGAAGCGCACACTCACAGTGCCAGCGCTATTGGCCAAAACAACATCGCAATGTTAAAACATCATCTGCAAATCACTTTTCACAGCAGCAATGAGGCCTAACCACCACTACTACCTCCAACACCACCACACCACCACACCACCACTACCACCACCATCACAACAACAACTACCACCACCACAACTATTGCCACCACAACCTCCACCACACCACACCACCACTACCACCACCATCACAACAACAACTACCACCACCACAACTATTGCCACCACAACCTCCACCACCAAAACAACCACCACCACTACAACAACCACCACAACAACCATCCACCACAACAACTACCACAACCACAACAATCACAACCTCCACCACCACAATAACCACCACCACTACCACAACCGCCACAACAACTACCACCACCACCCTCTCGCTTGCAGGTCCCAACGTCTCCTCCTCCTCCACCACCACCACCTCCTCCACCACCTCCTCCACCACCTCCTCCACCACCTCCTCCACCACCTCCTCCACCACCTCCTCCACCACCACCGCCTCCTCCGCCATCGTTGCTCCCAACGTCTCCACGGGCGCCGTCTCTGTCGCCCCTCCCTCTCCACCACCGCTCGTCGTGGTGCCCCGCGAGCCCCCCACTAGAACGGCGGCCCCCCACTTCCATTTGGCTAAACCACAACCGCAACAACCGCAGCAACAACCGCAGCAACAAACGCAGCAACAGCCGCCGGCACCGCCGCGCGGCCTTGCGCCACCGCCCCCGTCCATCGCCGCTCTCCCCCCGCGCCTCTCCGACTCCGCCGGTGGGATCGTCCGAACCGCCCTCGACTTGACCAGGCCCGGTCTGGCCTCTGTACGGCCTCAGCAGCAGCAGACGCAGCAGCAGCATCATCATCATCATCAACATCATCATCAGCAGCAGCAGCATCAGCAGCAGCAGCATCATCATCAGCAGCAGCATAATCAGCATCATCAGCATCAACAGCAGCAGGGAAGGTCCAACGACGCCCAGCAGCACCTTCGCAGGCAGGACTTGAGCGTGAATGGCGGTGGGTCGGCCAGGCCTGTGCTCGGCCCGGTCGCTAGGCCGATGATGAGCGACATCCGGTTCCTGGGAATGGAAGGCGGCGGCGGCAACAACAACAACAGCAGCAACAGCAGCAGCATCATCATCAGCGGCGGCGGCCACAACAATAACAACAACAGCAGCAGCAGCATTATCGTCAGCGGCCACAACAACAACAGCAGCAGCATCATCAGCGGCGGCGGCCACAACAACAACAACAGCAGCAGCAGCAGCATCAGCGGCAGCGGCGGCGGCCACAGCAGCAGCCACGGCGGCCACAGCAGCGGCTGCAACGGCAACGCAGGAGGCAGAGGGGTCGCGGTGACGCCCACGGCGGCGGCGGCGGCGTGGCCGGCCGTGCGTCCGAGCTTCTCGCCGTTCGGTCGGCCGCAGGGCAGCGTGCGGTGGAGCGCAAACTCCGACGCGGTGCTTGAGCACTCTCACGCTCACGCCGACGCGGGCGGCGGCGGCGGCGACGGCGCCGGTCGAGCGGAGCACGGCGTCGGCGCGGCTGCCGACGGCGCGGGGAGAGCCGAGTCGGCGCCGGGAGCGGCTTCCGCCGCTGCCGGGGTCCCGGGGAGCGGCGCGGAGGCGCCGGGAGACGGAGCGGCGGAGTGGAGGGGCGTGGAGGCCGTGATCGAGGCCTACCAGCAGCACCTGATGGGTGCGTCCCGCGGTGGCGTGGCGGCGGTGGGGAATGCTGCTGCTGCCGTGTGCGTGCGTCTGGCCTGGCACAGGCGCCGTGGTGAATGGCGTTGGCGTTGGTGTGAGCGTGGGAAGCAAAAACCTGAGACCCGAGTTTGATTCCCGCTCACGGCCAATTTTCGGTGACGATTATCCGAACCACGTCAACTCAGCCTCAAATGAGTACCTGGTGCTGTGTGTGTGGTAAACATCGCCACTGGGGAGACAAAGGCGGCCGGGCGTGGTGCTGGCCACCCACCCCCTCGTGCGCCACAGTGCCGGCCTTGCTCGCAATGGCGCTTGCCCCGGCAGTGCGTGTTAAGGCTGCACGGGGGACCTCTGTGTGTGCACGGGTGACCTCTGTGTGTGTGCGGGTGACCTCTGTGTGTGTGCGGGTGACCTCTGTGTGTGCGCGGGTGACCTCTGTGTGTGCGCGGGTGACCTTTGTGTGTGGGCGGGTGACCTCTGTGTGTGCGCGGGTGACCTCTGTGTGTGCGCGGGTGACCTCTGTGTGTGCGCGGGTGACCTCTGTGTGTGCGCGGGTGACCTCTGTGTCTGCGCGGGTGACCTCTGTGTGTGCGCGGGTGACCTCTGTGTGTGAGCAGGTGACCTCTGTGTGTGGGCGGGTGACCTCTGTGTGTGTGCGGGTGACCTCTGTGTGTGCGCGGGGGACCTCTGTGTGTGTGCGGGTGACCTCTGTGTGTGTGACCTCTGTGTGTGCGGGTGACCTCTGTGTGTGTGCGGGTGACCTCTGTGTGTGTGTGCGGGTGACCTCTGTGTGTGCGCGGGTGACCTCTGTGTGTGTGCGGGTGACCTCTGTGTGTGTGCAGAGCACGTGCTGGAGCGAGAGGTGCTGCAGGAGCAGGTGGGCCGCCTGAACCTCTACAACCGCCACCTGGGGACCCTGGCCGAGACCCTGAACTCGCGCGTCGCGGTGAGGCTCCCTCGGCCCGCTCGGGGACACTCGGGACACAACAGGACGGAGACACGGAAACACGGGGATGGGGACACGGCGGCACGGAGACACGGGGATGGGGACACAGCGGGACGGAGACACGGAGACACGGGGACATGGGGACATGGGGACATGGGGACGGAGACACGGATACACGGGGACACGGGGACACGGGGACACTGGGGACACAGCGGGACGGAGACACGGGGATGGGGACACGGGGACATGGGGACATGGGGACACGGCGATGGGGACACGGGGACATGGGGACATGGGGGGACGGAGACACGCGGGACGGAGACACGGAGACACGGGGACACGGGGACACGGGGACACGGGGACACGGGGACATGGAGACATGAGGACACGGGGACGGGGGACACGGGAGATGGGTACACGGCAGAACGGAGACATGGGGATGGGGACATGGGGACACGGAGATGGGTACACGCTGGGACGGAGACACACGGGACAGAGACACGGAGACACGGGGACATGGGGACACGGGGATGGGGTACACCGGGATGGGTACATGGGGACACGGGGACACGGGTAGAGATAGGGGAACAGGGGTACAGTTGGGGAATAGGTTTATGGGGCTGCTGACAATGGCGATGATGATGATATGGAATGCGACGACACCGATGATGACGTCGATGATGACGTCGATGATGACGTCGACGATGACGTCGACGATGACGTCGTCGATGATGACGTCGATGATGACGTCGATGATGACGTCGACGATGACGTCGTCGATGATGACGTCGATGATGACGTCGACGATGACGTCGTCGATGACGACGTCGACGATGACGTCGATGATGACGTCGACGATGACGTCGACGATGACGTCGTCGATGATGACGTCGATGATGACGTCGATGATGACGTCGACGATGACGTCGTCGATGATGACGTCGATGATGACGTCGACGATGACGTCGTCGATGATGACGTCGACGATGACGTCGATGATGACGTCGACGATGACGTCGTCGATGATGACGTCGACGATGACGTCGACGATGACGTCGTCGATGATGACGTCGACGATGATGTCGACGATGACGTCGTCGATGATGACGTCGACGATGACGTCGACGATGACGTCGTCGATGATGACGTCGACGATGACGTCGACGATGACGTCGTCGATGATGACGTCGTCGATGACGACGTCGATGACGACGTCGATGGCGACGTCGATGATGACGCCGCTGCCGACCGTGACTCTAAACCGCTGACGACGGCTCTCTCTCGGGCAGGAGCTGCTGGGCTGCAAGCGCCGCCTGGCGAGCGAGCGCCAGCGCAGCGAGGAGGCCCTGGCCCGCCTGCACCGCTGCCTGCCGGCCGCCCCCCCCGGCTGCCCCCCCCGGCTGTCCGTGGCCGCCCCCCCCCCGCCGCTGTCGCTGGCCGCGAGGGCGGCACGCCTGCCCACGACGGCCTCGTCAGGGCCCTCGGCCCAGCAGCACGGCCACTGACGCGGCCTCGTCCGCCCGCCCGCCTGCCCGTCCGTCCGCCCGCCTGCCCGTCCGTCCGTCTGTCGGAGTGTCTCAGTGTTTGTCTGTGTGAATGTCCACATGTCTGTGTGAGTGTCCGTGTCTCTGTATATAGGTCTCTGTGTCTCTGTGTCTGTCCCCGTATGTATGTGTGTATGTGTGTCTGTGTGTCTCTGTGGCTGTGTGTCTGTCCCCGTATGTATGTGTGTCTCTGTATCTCTGTGTCTGTTCCCGTATGTCTGTGTGTATGTGTGTCTGTGTGTCTCCGTGGTTCGGTGGCTTTGTGACTGTCTGAGGGTCCGAGTGCGGAACGGCGGTTAGCGCCGCGCCGCGCTACGAACCCAGCAGAGACCCAAGTTCGATTCCCGCTCACGGCCACCACCAACACCGCCAGTGACGATGATCTGAACCGGTCCTGGGCCTCCCCTCGGTCGACTCGGCCTTAAATCAGTACCGGGCGCGGTTCTGGCCACACCGCTCCCCGCACCTCCGCTTAGCACGGCTGGCCATGTACGGTGCGAAAGAAGTTCAAAGTGCACGCGCACACACGCACACATTGGGCGAGCGGCGCCGGCCTTCTTAGGCACTGCTGCTCATCGAACAGCACTTGCCCCGGCAGCCCGCGTGGGCTACGCCGGGGTGGGGGGGGGGGAGGGACCCTTTGTCTTTGTCGTACGTCCCGTGTCTGGTCCGCCGCGCTTGGCTCAGGAGGCCGGTGGGCACCAGGGCGGTCGTCTCAACCGCCGGACTTCGTTGGTGTCGGTCGGGCGTCGCCTGTGGGTTCGTTCGTTCGACTCGACTGTGCGTCCGGATCAACGAGGAGCACGGATGGCGAAGCCGTCTGGTCCGCTCGGCATCTGGTTCCACCGCGGGCGACATGGCAGGAGCGTCACGTGGGGCGCTTGGGAGGCCCTTCTGCATAAACGCGGCGCTGTACGGAGCGGCGCTGTACGGAGCGGCGCTGTACGGAGCGGCGCTGTACGGAGCGGCGCTGTACGGAGCGGCGCTGTACGGAGCGGCGCTGCGGGAGGTCGTCGTAGCACGCTTCCGGCCGAGATGCGTTCCCCAGCCGTTGTTTGCGAGCCTACGAGCGATATACGAGGCCTTCACTTGGCGTTGAGTCGATAATAGCCTTGACAGCGACACAGTACGCAACGATACTGTACGCAACGATAAAATGTGCGGAAGAATTAGGATCAATAATAAATAAATGGGAAAAAAATAAACTTTGAATGATAGCGGCAAAAAAAAAAATTCCGATCGGTTGCTGCCCGCCGGTGCACTCGGGCGGAGCCAATCGCACGCCCGCTTGGTTTTAGCGCGCGGCTCGGAGACAGAGAAGGGGGGCGGCGACGCTGTAAGAGACGCCGACGCTGTAGGAGGCAGCGGCGTTGGCAGCGACGCTGTCAGAGGCGCGCCTGCACTGACCGAGCCCTCGCGAGGACAAACCGAGCGATGCCCCGTGCGGTACTTCGATCTCAAGCAATAAGTGTCGGGCGGGGGGCTGTGGGCGGTGGGGTGGGGGGTCCTACCCCCTCCGCGAGGCATCGCGACGGCAGGTATCGGGGTGCGCCACGGCCCCCGCCGTGTCCGGGGAGCCGGGCGCTGAACGACTCCGAGTCGGGGGGGTGGGGCACGAGCCGAGGGAGGCGAGGAAAATTCTCTTTTGTGCCGTCGCTTAAATGCATAAGCGAGAAAAATATATACAAGTAAAAACACGTGTCGCGCGGCGGGGTCACGCGAGGTCACGCGGGGTCACGCGGGGCGCGCTCGACCAATGGCGTTGATTGGCGCGAATTTCAAATGGAGTCGGCATCCCCCTGGGGCAGAGTCGGCGACCCGGGGCGGATTTCGGGACCCGGAGCGGAATTGGGGACCCGGAGCGGAATTGGGGACCCGGAGCGGATTTGGGGACCCGGAGCGGATTTGGGGACCCGGAGCGGATGAGTCGTCGGTGGGGCGACCCGGCCCTGCCGCTCCACAGGGACGGGGGAACTCGAGCGGGATTTAGGGGGGGGGATGTCGGTGGGCAGGAGGAGCCTGCGTCGCATCGTCTACGCGCGGCAGGCTCAATGAGAGACACGAACTCTCCAAGTGAACTTGACGACTACGTTTCGTTTCGTTTTTTTGACGTCGATGAATTATACCGTTCTTCGTTTTCAGTTTTTATTTTGTTTTGCGGTGAGGTGGGCGGGGGGGGGGGGGGTAACCGGCGGTGGTGGCGGCGGTGGTGGCGGTGGTGGCGGTGGTGGTGGTGGTTTACCGCAACCAAGTTGTGAATTCTAACCATGGCCTGCGGCGGTCAGAATGCGAGGGGTCGGAGGGCAGAGCCGGGCCGAGGGGTACAGCGGCGACACGCAGCGTCCCACCCCCCCCCACCCAATCGGAACGCGCGTGTCTCTCCGGGTTATTTATTGCGGCGTGGAAGCACCCCCCCCCCACCCCTGTATATTTGCAGATGGATTTTAATAAAAAGTTTTAACACCGGCACGCCGCCTCGCTCGCCTCTCTCCCCCCCCCTCTCGCCCCGCCGTCACTCCGAAGGGCGCTAATTATACAACTGTTATCATCATTATTGCTGCGTTGTTATCGATGTCATCGCTGCTGCGAAACGGCCTTCCCCTACCCGTGGGTGGGTCTCAAGCAGAGGAGCCGTACTACCTGACTCGGACAGATAGTCGCTGCTGCTGGTGATGGTGGTACAGCAGTGTGTGGACTAATATCCATCTGTTCCATCTCACTCCCTTCTACCCGTGCGTGGGTGTCAAGGAGAGGAGCTGTACTACCTGATAGTAGCTGGTGGTGGTACAACAGTGTGTGGACTATTTCTGGATTTGACGTTTCCGTGACTGCTAGGATCCATACTCTTTGTTTTTTCGGTAAAGTCACGTGAGTAAAAACTTAAATAAATTAAAAATGAAAACAACTAAATTAAATCACGACGTTTCGGGCGCACCACAAGCGTCCGTCTTCAGGTGGGTGGGTGTCAAGGAGGAGCAGTACCCCCTGGCTCGGACAGGTAGTAGCTGGTGGTGGTGGTGGTACAGCAGTGTGTGGACTAATCTCCATCTGTTCCATCTCACTCCCTTCTACTCGTGGGTGGGTGTCAAGGATAGGAGCATTACCCCCTGGTTCTGCCAGAAGGCGGTACTACAGCAGTGTGGACTAATTTCCATCTGTTCCATCTCCCTCCCTTCTACCCGTGGGGTGGGTGTCAAGGAGGAGCCGTACCCCCAGGCTCGGCCAGGAGAAGGCGGTTCTACAGCTGAGTGGACTAATCTCCATCTGTACGGCGGGGATCGAGTGTTTCCCCCTCACAGGAGAGGGTTTGCTCCGGGTGCTCCGATCTCCTCCCACACACGTAAACACTCGTTCGTTGGCTCACCTTAATATGTAGAGGTCCACAGAGCGTGGGCAATCGTTGGGAGCTCAGAGCCAGACTGAGGCTCCTCCCACAGGGTTCAGTGTTAATCAGTGAGGCTCACAGAGCCAGACTAAGGCTCTCACAGGGTTCAGTGTTAATCAGTGAGACTCACAGAGCCAGACTGAAGCTCCCACAGGGTTCAGTGTTAATCAATGAGACTCCCACAGGGTTCAGTGTTAATCAGTGAGGCTCACAGAGCCAGACTAAGGCTCCCACAGGGTTCAGTGTTTATCACTGAGACTCACAGAGCCAGACTGAGGCTCCCATAGGGTTCAGTGTTCATCACTGAGGCTCACAGAGCCAGACTGAGGCTCCCACAGGGTTCAGTGGTAATCACTGAGGCTCACAGAGCCAGACTGAGGCTCCCACAGGGTTCAGTGGTAATCACTGAGACTCACAGAGCCAGACTGAGGCTCCCACAGGATTCAGTGGTTATCACTGAGACTCACAGAGCCAGACTGAGGCTCCCACAGGGTTCAGTGGTAATCACTGAGACTCAGAGCCAGACTGAGGCTCCCACAGGATTCAGTGGTTATCACTGAGGCTCACAGAGCCAGACTGAGGCTCCCACAGGGTTCAGTGGTAATCACTGAGACTCACAGAGCCAGACTGAGGCTCCCACAGGATTCAGTGGTTATCACTGAGACTCACAGAGCCAGACTGAGGCTCCCACAGGGTTCAGTGGTAATCACTGAGACTCACAGAGCCAGACTGAGGCTCCCACAGGGTTCAGTGGTTATCACTGAGGCTCACAGAGCCAGACTGAGGCTCCCACAGGGTTCAGTGGTAATCACTGAGACTCACAGAGCCAGACTGAGGCTCCCACAGGATTCAGTGGTTATCACTGAGGCTCACAGAGCCAGACTGAGGCTCCCACAGGGTTCAGTGGTAATCACTGAGACTCACAGAGCCAGACTGAGGCTCCCACAGGGTTCAGTGGTTATCACTGAGGCTCACAGAGCCAGACTGAGGCTCCCACAGGGTTCAGTGGTAATCACTGAGACTCACAGAGCCAGACTGAGGCTCCCACAGGGTTCAGTGGTTATCACTGAGGCTCACAGAGCCAGACTGAGGCTCCCACAGGGTTCAGTGGTAATCACTGAGACTCACAGAGCCAGACTGAGGCTCCTCCCACAGGGTTCAGAGTTCATCACTGGGTGGGCGGGGCGACTGGGCGGGGGCGGGGCGGCTGAGGGGGCGGGGCTATTGAGCCGCGATCCCATTGGCTCGTCGCGTCGTCACGGGGTCATCACGGGGGTCGTCACGGGGTCACCACGGGGTCACCGCTCCGTGGGTGAGAAGGGAGCGACTCTCACGAGGTAATTGTCTCTCTGTGTCTCTCACTCTGAGTCACTCTGTGTCTCACTCTGTGTCTGTGTCTCTCTGTCTCTCTCACTCTGTCTCTGTGTGTCTCTCACTCTGAGTCACTCTGTGTCTCACTCTGTGTCTCACTCTGTGTCTGTGTCTCTCTGTGTCTCTCTGTCTCTCTCACTCTGTCTCTGTGTGTCTCTCACTCTGTGTCTCTCTGTGTCTCACTCTGTGTCTCACTCTGTGTCTGTGTCTCTCTGTGTCTCTCTGTCTCTCTCACTCTGTCTCTCTGTGTCTCTCACTCTGAGTCACTCTGTGTCTCTCTCTGAGTCTGTGTGTTTCACTCTGTGTCTCTGTGTCTCTCTCACTCTGTGTCTCTCTGTGTCTGTGTCTCACTGTCTCTGTGTCACTCTGTTTCTGTGTCTCTGTTTCTGTGTCTCTCACTCTGAGTCACTTTGTGTTTCACTCTGTGTCTGTGTCTCTGTGTCTCTCTCACTCTGTGTCTGTGTCTCTCACTTTGTGTCTCTCTGTGTCTCACTGTCTCTGTGTCTCTGTTTCTGTGTCTCTCACTCTGAGTCACTTTGTGTTTCACTCTGTGTCTGTGTCTCTGTCTCTCTGTGTCTCTCTCACTCTGTGTCTGTGTCTCTCACTTTGTGTCTCTCTGTGTCTCACTGTCTCTGTGTCTCTGTTTCTGTGTCTCTCACTCTGAGTCACTTTGTGTTTCACTCTGTGTCTCTGTCTCTCTGTGTCTCTCTCACTCTGTGTCTGTGTCTCTCACTTTGTGTCTCTCTGTGTCTCACTGTCTCTGTGTCTCTGTTTCTGTGTCTCTCACTCTGAGTCACTTTGTGTTTCACTCTGTGTCTGTGTCTCTGTCTCTCTGTGTCTCTCTCACTCTGTGTCTGTGTCTCTCACTTGTGTCTCTCTGTGTCTCACTGTCTCTGTGTCTCTGTTTCTGTGTCTCTCACTCTGAGTCACTTTGTGTTTCACTCTGTGTCTCTGTCTCTCTGTGTCTCTCTCACTCTGTGTCTGTGTCTCTCACTTTGTGTCTCTCTGTGTCTCACTGTCTCTGTGTCTCTGTTTCTGTGTCTCTCACTCTGAGTCACTTTGTGTTTCACTCTGTGTCTCTGTCTCTCTGTGTCTCTCTCACTCTGTGTCTGTGTCTCTCACTTTGTGTCTCTCTGTGTCTCACTGTCTCTGTGTCACTCTGTTTCTGTGTCTCTCACTCTGAGTCACTTTGTGTTTCACTCTGTGTCTCTGTCTCTCTGTGTCTCTCTCACTCTGTGTCTGTGTCTCTCACTTTGTGTCTCTCTGTGTCTCACTGTCTCTGTGTCTCTGTTTCTGTGTCTCTCACTCTGAGTCACTTTGTGTTTCACTCTGTGTCTGTGTCTCTGTCTCTCTGTCTCTCTCTGTGTCTCACTCTGTGTCTCTGTCTCTCTCTGCCTCTCTCTCGAGACCGCTCGCGGCCCAGCGAGTCACACAAAGCCTGCACTAGGCCCTGCCTCGCTGGGACAGTGCAGTCAGTGGTGGTGAGGAGCTCACTGTAGTGGTGGTGAGGAGCTCACTGTAGTGGTGGTGAGGAGCTCACTGTAGTGGTGGTGAGGAGCTCACTGTAGTGGTGGTGAGGAGCTCACTGTAGTGGTGGTGAGGAGCTCACTGTAGTGGTGGTGAGGAGCTCACTGTAGTGGTGGTGAGGGGCTCACTGTAGTGGTGGTGAGGAGCTCACTGTAGTGGTGGTGAGGGGCTCACTGTAGTGGTGGTGAGGGGCTCACTGTAGTAGTGGTGAGGAGCTCACTGTAGTGGTGGTGAGGGGCTCACTGTAGTAGTGGTGAGGGGCTCACTGTAGTAGTGGTGAGGATCTCACTGTAGTAGTGGTGAGGAGCTCACTGTAGTAGTGGTGAGGGGCTCACTGTAGTAGTGGTGAGGATCTCACTGTAGTAGTGGTGGTGAGGGGCTCACTGTAGTAGTGGTGAGGGGCTCACTGTAGTAGTGGTGGTGAGGAGCTCACTGTAGTGGTGGTGAGGAGCTCACTGTAGTAGTGGTGGTGAGGGGCTCACTGTAGTGGTGGTGAGGAGCTCACTGTAGTAGTGGTGGTGAGGAGCTCACTGTAGTGGTGGTGAGGGGCTCACTGTAGTGGTGGTGAGGAGCTCACTGTAGTAGTGGTGGTGAGGAGCTCACTGTAGTGGTGGTGAGGAGCTCACTGTAGTAGTGGTGAGGGGCTCACTGTAGTAGTGGTGAGGAGCTCACTGTAGTGGTGGTGAGGAGCTCACTGTAGTGGTGGTGAGGAGCTCACTGTAGTGGTGGTGAGGGGCTCACTGTAGTGGTGGTGAGGAGCTCACTGTAGTGGTGGTGAGGAGCTCACTGTAGTAGTGGTGATGAGCTCACTGTAGTAGTGGTGAGGAGCTCACTGTAGTGGTGGTGAGGGGCTCACTGTAGTGGTGGTGAGGAGCTCACTGTAGTGGTGGTGAGGAGCTCACTGTAGTGGTGGTGAGCAGCTTTGTTTTATTTTACCAGGTGAGGTCCCTCTTCTTCAGAAGTGAACTGGCTATCACAAATGATAGCTCGATGAAGTGGCTTATCACGTGGGAATTTACAGCAGCCAAATACTCTAAACGCGGGACATTGATTCGGGAGCGCCCTGTAGAAAAATACACGCGACCACGGGGAGAGAGAAACGCAAACTCCAAATATACAGCAGCAGCAGGCGTCAGGGTCGGGATGGAGCCCACGACCTCCTGCACACCAGGCGAGGTAGTCAACATCTCCTAGCCACCACGATGATGATGATGAGAGAGAGAGACACAAACTCCAAATATACAGTAGCAGGCATCGTCAGGGTCTGGATAGAGCCCACGACCTCCTGCGTACCAGGCGAGGTAGTCAACATCTCCTAGCCACCGTGGTGATGATGATGATGAGAGAAAGAGACACACAAACTCCAAATATACAGCAGCAGGTGTCGGGATGGAGCCCACGACCTCCTGAGTACCCGGCGAGGTAGTTAACATCTCCTAGCCACCACGATGATGATGATGAGAGAGAGAGAAACGCAAACTCCAAATATACAGCAGCAGCAGGCGTCAGGGTCGGGATGGAGCCCACGACCTCCTGCACACCAGGCGAGGTAGTCAACATCTCCTCGCCACCGTGGCGCCCAGAAATTGACAACCGCACGAGGTTCTGATTGGCGACCATCTCGCGCGATCCCCCTCTTCAGGTATCGACAGCGATGGGGTCGGCTGACGAGCAGAGACGTCGCAGGATCCCGGGAAGCGACGACGCCACCGACGACGACGCCGACGAGGACGACGACGAGCCCAGGCTGTCGGCGCACGCGCTCGCCGCTCTGCGCGAGTTCTACGCGGAGCAGGGAGAGAAGGAGGCGGCGGGAGAGGCGGGAGCCCGGGCGGAGGACGAGGACCCGCCCGAGAACTGGGTGAGCCGCGCCTGTCGGGCGGTCAAGTGGGGAGCGGCGGTGCAGCGGTTAGCGCCGGCGCTGCTGCGTAGAAACCCGGCGACCCGAGTTGGATTCTCCGCTCGAGGCCGGGCACCGCCGACGATCGTCTGAACCGGTCCCGAGCCTCCCCCTAGGCCAGAGGTCGCAACCGGGTACCCGATACCCGTACCCTGCCTGATACCCGCTACCCGTACCCGCCGGGTACGGGTAGCCGTTTGCGACCCGAGTGCGGCCGGGTACTGGTAGGCCGTGAGTCACTGGTGAGTCACCGTTTGTCACTTCATTTCCCAACGTCTTGTCTCTTCTCACATTTAAGTTCCTAGAATCAACCCACCCGCGCCTGCAACATGGCTTGATCACAGAGGTCGCAATCTGGTACGCGATACCCGTACCCTACCCGTACCCGGCCGGGTACGGGTAGGGTACGGGTACGGCCGGGTAAGGGTACGGGTACCCTTACCCATATGAGACTAGGTTCTAAGGAAAGCTGTCTCGGGTGTGGACCAATCAACTTCAGGACAGTGCACATTATCAGAGTTATGTTCTTTTGTTGTATTATGAACTGCAGGTATTGCGGTCTATGCAAACAGGACTCCTTGTAAAAAGGTGTCAGTTTTGGTGCCAGATAGAAGGGTAAGAACCATTATCATATTTTTACTGGCAAATGGTTCCCATAGTGTGATGCTTGCCCCGAGCTCTCATACTCTGATGGTGCATTGTCCTTGAGTTGTGCGCCTTTTGGCGTCATCTGGTCCAACCCATATGAGACTAGGCTCTAAGGAAAGCTGTCTCGGGTGTGGACCAATCAACTTCAAGGACAGTGCACCTTATCAGAGTTATGTTCTTTTTTTGTTGTATTATGACTGCAGGTATTGCGGTCTATGCAAATGACTCCTTGTAAAAAGGTTCAGTTTTGTTGCCAGATAGAAGGGTAAAGAACCAATTATCATATTTTTACTGGCAAATGAGGTTCCCATAGGGTACGGGTACCCGTTTGCAACCCTGGTGCGGCCGGGTATGGGTACGGGTAAGGAATCAAAACCCGTTTGCGACCTCTGCCCTAGGCCGATCGGCTTCAAAATGAGCACCCGTGCGGTGTGTAGACGTTGTCACTAGAAAGACAAAGGCGGCCAGCGTGGTGTTGGCCACCCACCCACCGCCTTCGTGTGCCGTGGCGGCCTGCATAGGTTGGCAACACTTTCCCCACAGTCTGTTCAGGTTATATGGGGATCTTTGTCTTAGGTGGGAAGTAAAACAGCGCTGGTCCAAACAGTCTGTTAAAAGCTTTATCGGGGGGGGGGGGGGGGGGGGGGGGGGGGGGGGGTG